GCGCTCCCCCCCCCGCCGGCCCCCCGCCGCCCGCAGCACCGCCAGGTTGCCACCGGCCGAAAGGGCGAAGAGGAGGAAGGTGACGGCCACGCGGGCCTGGGCGGCGGGGGAGAAGGTGGGCAGCTGCAGGGGCTCCTCACCCCCCTCGGCCTGGGGGGTCCAGGCGCAGCCCCGCTCGGGGGGGGACAGGCTGCTGGGGGGGTCTGCGCTGGCGTTCCCCACTGCAGGGTCTGGGTCCAGATGGCCCCGTCCTGCCGCAACAGGCAGATGGGCAGCATCAGCCTGACCAGGGGGCTCCGGGGGTGCTCAGGGGGACAGGTCACCCTCAGTGTAGAGGGTCCCGTTCCCTGGAGCCCCACACCACAACCCCCACCCCATCCCACTGTGTTCCCACCTTCAGCGGCTCCTGACATCCCCACTGCTCCTCCGGAGCCCCCCCACACCCCACAGAGCTATGGGGGTCCTTAGCACCAAGCAGGAGACAGTCTCAGCTGACCCCAGCCCACCACCTCCCCCATGTCACCCCTGCCCGCCCACCCATCCTCCACCCCGGAGCTTCCCTCCTGGTCCTGCACGGGGCCCGAGACCCTCCCAGCCTGATGCCAGACCCCCCCCGGGGACCAGGCACCCCGTTCCCCCTCCCACCTCACCTCCAGCCATGGTGTCCTGCCCAGGGCCACCCGCCTGGGCCACCTCGGGGCCACTGCTCAAGCGCTGCCGGCTCTGTGTGCCAAGGACTCCCGCACCCACGCCGTGCCCCGTGGCCATGAGCCGGGGAGTCTGGGGGAAGCGGGGGGCACGGGGCAGGTACTGCTGTGGCCTGCAGCCCCCTGTGCTCCTGCCGCCGGGCCACACGCAGCCGGTGGCCCCTGGGACGCCCTTGGTGGCTCGGGTTGGTCCTTGACGTCGCCAGCCCGCTGGGAACGGCTCGGTCCTTCACCCTGCGCCACCCCCCACCCACGGACACGTGAGTGTGCACAGACACACACACACTCCGGTGCACACTCCTGTGGATGCACACACAGCTCTGCCCCTCTGCCCCCCCCCCAACCCGCAGGCAGGTAGCTCCGTGCCCCCCCCGGGCCGCTCCCGCTGCACCGGCTCATCCCAAATCCCATCCCAGTGGCGTGGGGCTGGTGCTGCTCAGCACCCTGGGGGGGTCCCTGCCCCAGGAAGCCCACCCGGGTGAGCCCCCAGCCCGGGCAGGGTGGTAGGTGCCCTGGGCAAGCAGGGCCGAGGGGCTGGGCAGAGGGAGATGCCCAGCAGCTGTGGGAGGGACCCCCGGGAGGGACCCCCCAGCCCGGGTGGCTGCCCCTGCCCTCCCCAGCGCTGGGGATCGGGGTTCCTCGCTTTGGGGGGGCCCGGAGACCCACAGGTCCCTTCTCCCGGCTGCTCCCCCGGATGGTGGCTGTCCCCACGGCCACAGTGTGTCCCCAGGCCCCTTGAGCCCTGGCCGGGGGGGCGGATCTGCAGCCTGGGGGAGGGCCGGAGACCTGCTTTGCATCTCAAAGGCTTGCCCGCCCCCGCCCCCTCCCCGGCAAAGGGAATTAACGTTATTAGCAAGCCGTTTCACAGATAAGTGGGGCTCATTAGCCCTGCAGACCCCCTGCCCCAGGGCCCCCGGGGTGGGCGGAGAAGGGCCCCCCCAGCGCACTCGCACCCGGCTGCCAGGCCCCACCACGGCCTCCCCAATGGCCTCCCCAATGGCCTCCCCAATGGCCTCCCCAATGGCCTCCCCAGACCCCGGCCCACCACAGCCCCCCCGCCCCACAGGGAGCCGCCGAGGGGGCTGGGGGGGGCAGAGGAGCCCGTCTACAGCACCCTCCACACTCCTCTCTGCCTGCGGGGTCTCCAGCCCCATGGGGTGACCCCAGCCCCACACTTCTCCCTGCTGCTGGACCCCAAATACCCCCATTTACCCCTGCGCTGTGGGGCAGCAGCACGGGGGGGGCAGTGATGCTCAGCTGAGCCCCAGGGCTGGATCCAGAGGGTGCGAGTGACCCCTCCCCAGCTGGGGGACAGGCCCCGGGGCAGGGGGTGTCTCTCCCAGCACCTCCTGCCCCTCCTGCAACTACTCTCCCGGATGCCATCCAGCCACCCCACAGCTGCGTGTCGGGGTCCCCAGCGCCTCCAGCCCAACATGGGGGCACCGGACCCATGCCGGACCCCCTGCCCACACCCGGGGGGGTGCCCATGGCCTGCCCAGCTGCAGAGGGGCCTTTCACCAGCTCTGCCACCCTCTCCCACCCCCAGACCCGCTTCCAGAGCTGACGGCGGGGGGGCCCGGGCACGTTGCCCCCCATCCCGTGCCCAGCTCCTGCTGCAGGAACCCCACTTGGTGACACTCGGAGGGCACAGGGGTTTATTTATGTACAGTGGCGGCCGCCCCAGCACGTCCAGCGGAGCCGCGGGCTCACACGAGAGGCAAAGCAGCTCGTCCCCCCCACCTCCCAACTGTCCTGGGGGGGACACGCATCCCCCAAGCTGCAGGCATCCAGACAGTGCGTGGTGGGGCCGTGGGGAGATGGGGGCTCGTCCGGGTCAGTCCTGGGGCTGCGGCGGGAGAAGAGCCTCCAGGAGAGAGAGCAAGTCCGTGGAGAGGTCCTGGGGGAGCAGAGGGTGGGTGAGAGGGTGACCGGGCAGGGCAGGGCTGGGGTCTTGGGGGGGGGAAACAGGAACAGGGGCTGGCAGAGCCCACCCACCAGGAGGGATCCCATCATGGATGAGCAGGACCATGGCCCAGCTGATGGGTCCCCAACACACAGGAGGGAGGATGGCTCCAGGGAGGCTGAGGGACACACATGCACCCACTGCAGGGAGGAGGGGGGACACCTCCCCATTCCCACCCCCAGACAAGGCTGTTCTTACCCCAAAACCAGTTCCCCCACTCCCACATGCCCACCCCATGCTGGGCACCACCGGGGCTCATCCCGCTCCCTGCACGTACCTGGGTGACTGTCCCTGCGTCCACGATCTCCGGCAGCATCAGCCCCGCGTCCAGGAGGGGGTCACCGGGGAGATCTGGGGGGGCCCCTGCCCCTGCGCAGTGAGGAGGGGACAGCCAGGAGGACGTGTTGGAGGTGACAGCCCCATGCAGCTCCGGGGGGGTCCCCCCCACAGGGATGTAGTGGGGGGACCCCCAGGCCTCCATGCCCATGTCAGGAGCCCCAAGCATCTCTTGGGGGCTCCCCACAACAGAGCCACAGGGTGGTGACCCCCAGGCCCCCCTCCCCATGCCGGCAGTCCCGTGCAGCTCCGGGGGGGTCCCCACCATGGGAGGGGACCCCCAGCCCACAGTGCCGGGGGGCGAAGCATCGGCCGGTGGGTGCAGGCGGGGGTCAGGGGTCTGGCAGCACCCCAGCCCCTGCGGGCAGAGGGGGCAGTGGCGGGGGGCCGCCCCCCGCCGCCGGGCCAGCGCCTCCTGGCTGAGCCCCAGCAGGGCCGAGAGGTGGGCGATGTAGCGGATGGCGAGGCGCAGGGTCTCGATCTTGGTCAGGCTCTGCCCGGCGGGCACCAGGGCGGGCGGCAGGTAGTGCCGCAGCCGCCGCAGCGCCTGCGCCAGCCGCCGCATCCGCAGCTTCTCCCGCTCGCTGGCGCTCTGACGCGGGCCCCCCGCGCCCCGCACCCCCTTCCTGCCCCCGGGGCCGCCCCGCAGGCGAGGGGTGGGGGGGCCGCGACAAGGTCCCCGGGCGGCGGCGGGGGAGGAGAGGCCGCAGGAGTCGGGCGAGGGTGCGGGCGAGCTGCTGCTGTAGCCCTCGGGGTCCGGGGGGCCACGGCAGCCCCAGTCCTGCAGCAGGGCCGTGGCGGGGAGCGGGAGGCCGGGGGCTGCCGAGTGGGCCATGGCTGTGGGGCCGAATGTCGGTGTCCCCCGGCCGCCCTGGCTTTATGCAGGGCCAGAGGTGTGAAGTGGCACCTTCGTGGCCGGCACCAGCAGCACTTCAAAGGCCGGGGGGGGCCGAGGGCTTTGAACATGCGGGTGACGAATTTTACCCCGGCGGTGTGAGGCTGCTCTGTGCTGCCTCCCCCCACAATCCCCCAGCAGCCCTTGCCCTCCAGCACCGTCCTCAGGATGGGGCTTGGGCCCTGCAGTGGGGCTGCAGTGGGGTCTGCCATGGGGTCTGCACAGGAGCCTCCATAGGAGTCTGCAGTGGGGTCTGCAGTGGGCCCAGCAGTGGGACCAGCAGTAGGCCCAGCAGTGGGACCAGCAGTAGGCCCAGCAGTGGGGTCTGCAGTGGGGTCTGCAGTGGGACCAGCAGTGGGGTCTGCAGTGGGGTCTGCAGTGGGCCCAGCAGTGGGACGAGCAGTGGGACCAGCAGTGGGGCCAGCAGTGGGCCCAGCAGTGGGGTCTGCAGTGGGGTCTGCAGTGGGACCAGCAGTGGGCCCAGCAGTGGGGTCTGCAGTGGGCCCAGCAGTGGGGTCTGCAGTGGGCTGCGAGCTGCAGCAGCGCCAGCTCTGCGTCTCCACATCCCCCCACCACGCAGCGTGGCCCCAGCCGGGCAGCCCCGGTGCCCATCGTGGCTCTGTGGGGCACCGACCCCCTGCCCGGTGCCGGGGGGGCACACCCGGCCCGCCCTCCGGGGGCAGGTCCCCCGCAGCCCCCGCTAATGGCGTTTCACACGCTGTCCCTAATGAGCCCGCCCGCCCGCCGTGCCCGGCGCGGAGCCGCGGCCGCTGCCGCCGAGTGCCGTCGAGGGGCGGCCCGGGCGCGG